TTATTAATTTTCTCAACTAAACATTTGCCACAAAAGAATTAAATTTATGCCTTATCTGATAAGTCTAAATCAACTGCAATCAATTCTTGATTATGAGTTTTACATATTGTTTCGGATGCTTCCTGTATTTATTTTTGATTTAAGATATTCATATTTATTATTTAAATTAATTAATGTAATTATATGTCATTTAATCACCCTTTGCATTTCATAATTCCATTATAATTCTATCATTTAATTTATATAAATATTTGTATTATAGTATTTTTTATAAGTATTATCAATTACAAAGTAACAATATTATTAATAAGAAATCATACTAAAATATAAAAACATCAAAGAGATTTTTGCAAAGATCAATGTTAAAATAAAAGCTTATAAAAATTATCTATGTTATTTGAAATTATGGATCTATCTTATTTTAAATTCTAAAGGCTCTAATTCATTAAAAGTACCTTTAAAGTGCTAATTGCTATTAATCGTCCAAATATTTAGAATTTGACTGTAAAATATATCAATAAAAATAGCTGTTTAGCAAATAAAGTAAAATAATGGATATTATTATTTGTTTTTCGGATTTATTCAACTTCCCATTAGTGAATACAGAATTGAATATTTGATATTTATGATCTTGTTGATTATTTATGTTATTCAGATGTGGAGTTTAATGGTTTCTATCGTGAAGAGTAATATGGAGGATTATTAATTCAATGTTGATTGTTAATAGAATGCTTTAAAGATGTATTATAATAATAGTTTAATTTAGTTAGAAAATCGTGATTTCTATTTGTCAGCCAATTCAATGCTAATTAAAACAATCTAAGTTTCAAACAGCAAATATATTGAATTTATGGAAATGCTATAATAGTTTGATGTTCATTCTAAATTAGTAAATTTTTATTTCTTGGGTTTATTTGATTAATTACCAAGATATACTTATTAAAAAAAAATAATTCTATAAAACTCCTAAAATTGTTTAAAAGTTAAATTAATGATTGAAGGATTACCATCTGTGATTTGAAATTAGTCAATTAGCTTTTAAATAATCTGAACAGATAATTGATATAATTCAAATCTTATATTGATTGATAAAATTTTGATCTTCAGAGTATAATTAATTATTAACTCTTTTGAAGAAGGATTGGAAGATAATTTATGAAATAAATATAGGTAGGGTTTTAACCGAAAAATCAAATGGGTATATCAAATTTGGCTCATGATTTAGGTTTTAGAAGAAATGATACTAATTCTATTAAAGAATTTTTTATTGAAGAATTATTAATCATTTAATAAAGATTGCCAACATCTAATTAATGTTTTCAAATTATTTTCTGATTAAAATAAAATAAAATTAATATATAATTTGACTCTTCAAACAGTATTCTTGAATTAATGATACCAAAAATGAATTTAACTTTGATGGAAAGAGAAAAGTGAGATTATATAGAAATAATTAAAGTATTTTTCTTACTTTTTGTATTACAATTTATTAATCAATAATAAACCTTAAATACTATTTAATAGTATTTAACATTTTATATTATTTTTAAAGTAAATTGAAATAGAATGGCATGGAAAAGAAATTTCTTATTGTGACATTCAATTTATTTATATCATATGATTTTTTAATTTTTAATAAAATTAATAATATACAAAATTATCTTACCTTTAGTATATAATTAATTGAAATGTTTTGGATCAACTTGCAAGGCTTTATCTGCATAAATAATAGTTTCATTATAATAGTCAAGCATCTACATTTTCAATTGTTTAATACTTTGTATTTGGATTCTCAGAAATGCAATCAACACATACAAATCTATCTTCAATTTTTTTCTCTTAAGAGTCCATATCAATCATAATTATTTCCTTTTTATGATTGCTACAAATTCTACTTAAACTTGGTGTTTTCTATTTATATTATATATAAGATACCGAATCATTTTTGACTATAAATTAAGGAATTAATTCAATTACATTATTTTCCATAATGTCTTTAATTTTTTCTTTTGTACTCTTAATTGTATCTAACGTCGAAAAGTATTCAGAGTTATTAAATAAAAGTTCAAATTGTCTTTATATTTCATTAACAAAATGATTATCCTCTATTAATTTTGGGGATTTCTATTATTCTTAAGAATACAATTCAGATAATTATTTTATATCCTCAAAGTAATTTAGTTATGATTCACATTCTTATAATTCTTTTTTTTCTTTTTAAATTGGGAATATATATTATTATATTTATTTATACATCTTCTCCAAAGAATCATCAATGGATTACTTGAAATTCATAATTTGATCTAAAATGTTTTTATAATAGTTGAGTCTTGCTTGATTCTCTTTAGATTTGATATCTTTTTATTAAATCTTAATTTATTAGATTCTCTCCTTTGATTACTCAATGGTGGTCACTTTATGGTTATTAATTTTCTCAACTAAACATTTACCACAAAAGAATTATATTTATGCCTTATCTACAAACCCAAACCCAAACCCTTTCAGGGACTTTTATTCAATCATCAAAGAAATGGACTTTTCATTTTTATTGTTCTTAGTGATATGTTTGAATTTGATTGATTATTTTTTCAATTAAAAGGTTTATTGTTTGACTTAAAAATATGAAATTTGATTCCCCAAATTCCTTTTTTTATTAAGAAAAATTATGTGTTAAAAAAAATTAAATTTAACAAGAGAAATTATTTCAAGAAAAAAAAAGATATTAAAAGTCTTCTTATAACCAAAAACATAAAATTGAGAAAAAAAAAAAATATAACTTAGAGTTTAATAGTTTAAAATATTCTTCAAGCTCTATTCAATTTCATGGCTATAATTCGAATTAACAAAAATGAAAGTCAAACTTTATATAAGACACACTTAAACATTGTTAAATTGTAAATTGGGAAAATTTTTGTCGGACAATTTGAAAAAAGCTTTATTCAAATAGAGATTGTTTCAATTATTTTAGTACAGTTTTTAATCTATAAAAAATGCATCTGAAGTTTGATCAACACTTTATTGTATATTCACATAAGTTTTTTTTAACTTATATAATAAAAAGTATATTTTATTAATTTTAAACAAAAATTTTCATTAAACTTATTTGAAGTTCTCCAAACTTTTCTATCTTTTAATTGTTGCATTAAAAAAAATCGATTTAAATTTATGATTTAAAAAGTTATTAAATAACATAATTAAATCTATTTATAAAAATATAAAGAATTGTAATTTAGCTAAAGGATTTTTTATGCACCCCCCAATTAGTATATTTACTTTTTCTCTTATAGGTAATTGCAGCCTCTTAAATTTTTCATTCTTAATCTTTAAATAAGTAGAGTCTTAAACTTTTTATTTAAATAATTATCATTTAAACTATATCATAAGGCAAATACTGAAATTGTGGATATATATATATTTTTTCATGATATTATGTATTGTTAATTTGATTGTTTTGGAACTTCTGTTTAGATTTCCAAAATACAACTTCCTTTAGATTTAAATAATTATCGTAAATCTATACCTTAATTATTGAAAAATTCCCCTTTCAAGATTAGAGCCCCTTATGCTTAAAATATGGGCTATTAGGATATAAGGAGAGAAGAAATAATATTGGAGACTAAAAATATTGGAAAAAATAAACCTTATGAAAGATAATTATTTTTAAACATGGTGGTCTTAAATTTTGTGAGAATATCTTCATAACGTTTATTTGTGAGTAAAATTTAATCCTCCTTCTTAATATCCCATAATCGGATAGATTTATCAATACTACTAGATGCTAAAGTAGTACCATTAGGAGCAAAGCATAATGATAGGACCGAACCATCATGACCATCCAATTTGGCCTTTTATAATCCTGTCTTAACATCCCATAAACGGATAGATTTATCATCACTTCCAGATGTTAATGTAGTACCATCTGGAGAGAAGCATACTGAATTGACTGAGCAACTATGACCATCCAATTAGGCAGTTTATTATCCTGTCTTAACATCCCATAAGCGGATAGATTTATCCTAACTACAAGAGGCTAATGTAGTACTATCAGGGGTGAAGCATATTGAATAGATATAATGAGTATGACCATTTAACTTACCCTTTTATTCTCCTGTATTAACATCCCATAAACGGATAGACTTATCTCTACTACCAGATGCTAATGTAGAACCGTCAGGAGAAAAACATAATGAACAGACCATTCCATTATGTCCATGTAATTTGGCATTTTATTATCCTGTCATAACATCCCATAAGCTAATAACCTTATCTTCACTACCAGATACTAATGTAGAACCATCAGGTGAAAAGCATAATGAGAAGATGGATCCACTAAGACCATCTAATTTGACATTTTATTATCTAGTTTTAACATCCCATAAACGGATTGACTTATCTCTGCTACCTGATGCTAATTTAGAACCATCAGGAGAAAAGCATACTGAGGAGACAGTTCCACTATGACCAACTATTTTACCCTTTTTTTATCCTGTCTTAACATCCCAAAATCTAATAGCCTTATCTTCACTACCAGATACTAATGTAGAACCATCAGGAGAAAAGCATACTGAACAGACAGCTCCACTATGACCATCTAATTTGGCATTTTATTATCCTGCCATAACATCCCATAAATAGATAAACTAATCACCACCACCAGATGATAATATAGTACCCTTCGGAGAGAAGCAGACTGATTAGACAGGCCCTCTATGACCATCTATTTTCCCCTTTGATTATCCTTTCTCGGTATCCCATAAACGGATAGAGTTATCTTTACTACCAGAGGCTAATGTAGAGCCATCTGGAGAGATGCATAATGAAAACACCCAATTGCTATGACCATTTAATTTAGCCTTTTATTATCTTGTCTTAACATCCCATAAATAAATAGACTTATCTTCACTTCCAGATGCTAATGTAGAACCATCAGGAGAAAAGCATACTGAACAGACAGCTCCACTATGACCATCTAATTTGGCATTTTATTATCCTTTCTCAACATCCCATAAACGGATAGAGTTATCTTTACCACCAGAGGCTAATGTTGTACCATCTGGAGAGAAGCAGACGGAATAAACCCAACTACTATGACCATCGAATTTAGTTTATTATTATCCTGACTTAACATCCCATAAAAGAATAGATTTATCATCGCTACAAGATGCTAATATTGTGCCATTAGGAGAGAAGCATACTGACCAAACACTATTACTATGACCATTCAATTTAGCTTTTTTTTTTCTTGTCTTGACATCCCATAAGCGGATAGATTTATCTTTACTGCATGAGGCTAATGTAGTGCCATCTGGAGAGAAGCATACTGAATAGACATGATTAGTATGACCATTCAATTTGCCCTTTTCTTATCCTGTCTTAAAATCCCATAAACGTATAGACATATCTTCACTACCAGATGCTAATGTAAAGCCATCTGGAGAAAAACATACTGAATTGACTTACCAAGTATGACCATCTAATTTATTTATCTCATGTATTTAAATATTCCTCCATTTACAGTTTAAGAGTTATGCTCCATTCAAATTCATACCACTTATGTCTACATTCTCAAATTACGATTCACTCAAATTGCATCTCGCAAAATTAGCTCCTATCAAAGATGTATTCTTAATTCTCATCTTTTCAAAGGTTTATTCTTTCAAATCAACCTTCATTTCTACTAATAAATACAGCGAATTTGATCCCAGTTGTATTAATTAATCATCTTAGGCTGTGAGGTGAATTAAGAATTTAAGAAATTCTATTATCTACTTTTAATCTTTTATTCTTTTTATAAGATACTGCCTCTATTTCGAAAATTCTTTAGAGGAATAGTCTTATTTATTAAAGTGATGATCCATTATTTTTTTAATAGCATCTGTAATTTGTATTATGTTATTTCTAACAAAATAACACTTCTTTTCCTTCTCAATTTATATTTAATTCTAACCTTATGAGATATATTATTCAAAATGTCTTTGATTTCCATTATCTGAAAGAAATCCTAAACAGTCTTAAATATTCTCCATTCTAAAAATTTAAGTTATGAAACAGTATATTTGTTCATCAACATCTTTAACTTAAGTGAAAATCTCAAAGAGCTCTTCTTTTTCTTCATCAGTGTTATTCATATCTCCTATTTAAAAATTATTGAATTTTATTGCTTTAATTTAAATTTTATACTACAAATTGATAATTATCTAAATAGAAATCTTCAGAAGAAACACAAAATTTTAGATGTATTTATTTGCTCTATAATCAGCAAAGAGTTATCATTTCAACCTTTGAAAGGTTTTTCATTAAATATATAAAATACTAAATTTACTTTGATAATTTGAATTATTAATAATTAATTTTATATAAAAATTTAACACTTTAATTGTAAATGTTCATATTTTCCTAATTGATTAGATAGAGTAATCAGTAGGAATTATAGTTTTTCATCTAAATATTAACAGGAAGGAATGAATATGATTATATTTGGCTCTTTGCAATATTTTTGATTCTCAATAGATAATCTTACAAAAAAACATTTATGAATATTATTTAAAAAGACTGATGATTGATGATTAGAAATAAAAATGTAGCAAATTGATAAAATAAATTTAAGAAAATACATTTTTAATATAATTAATTAGAGATATGCTTTGATCTTGAAACAGTTAATTCTATAAATATAATTTTTCATGTGCAATAGTTTCTAATTTTTTATCAAACTTTTTATCTAATGACTCTTTATATATTATTATTCACAATTTCACTAATTTTTTCCTTAATTTGTTCTAGGTTTCGATTATAATTAATTCAAAAGCAACCACTATTTCTTTTAAAAGTAATCTAGAATAGTCTTTTTTCAATCTCTTATGAAAATGATTGAACACTTTCAAATTCTATAACTGTCTCTCTTTATCATCAAATAAGATTTAGTTTTCATCAATAAAATAGGGTTTTCTGCTAAATTTTAATGAATCCTTTAGAAGATAAAATTAGTCTCTCTTGCCTTATAGTTTTAGTCATTTCATAATCTAAATTATTTCAAATAAAAATTTAAATATTAAGTTCTTTTTAAATTTTCATCTCTATTTTATTCGATTAAATGAATTTTATTATAAATTCATTATTACAAATCACATAAATCTTTAAGCTCTTTTTGTTTCGATTCTCAGTGGTAATAATGAATTCCCTAATTTTATTTTTTAAAATATTTTTATTGATATTAAACAGTTTATTTATTCTAATTATAATTTTAATTAATCAAAAGACAGAAAAATAATTGAAATTGTGAAAAAGGAGCAGATTATGTAAATAGCTATTTCTGATTTGGAAATACTATATAAATATGATTTTTTGAATCAACTTCTCATATTTTTGAAAAATTAAGAAATTAATCTTATTAAATACAGTTTTAACGTTAACTTTACTTTCATTGTCTTCAAACACTTCACTTATATTTATTTTACAATTTTTATATCTTTCTTCTTACTGTTTTAATCAATTATTATTTATAATTATCTAAATTTCGAGATCCAAAATTGAGCATAATTTGTCTTATAATTTAAAATTATCATATTACTTCTCCTTAATAAATCATCTTTAGATGGAATATTTAAGTATTTTTCAATTACATTACTCAATTCAAACTTCTATACTACATTTTGAAGATATCTGAATATCAAATAGTTAAGATTATTAATTTTTAAATCATAATATCCTTCTTAATATTATTGTTGTATACTCTACTCCCAAATTTTAAAGGTATAACATAACATAATATTTTTAAAGAAATTTTACATTTAAAATTTAATTATTTTTTTGATTGATATTATTATTTAAATAATTGTTTGGGATGTCATCTGCATTTCACATTCATATTGGAGGGGCTGGTGTAATGATAGGTGATATGCTATGGAAATTTTATGAGAAGGAACATAATGAGACAACATAGAAGAATTATATTTATGAATAAGTTGATGGACATTATCATCCATTAGTATTATTTATTGATTTAGAAGACAGAATGATATTTGAAATTTAAAGAAATAAATAAATTGAATTTAAGAAGAATTCATTTCTTAATGGAACAGAAGGCGCATCAAACATTTATTATAAAGGAAATTATACTTAGTGGAAAGAGATTCTTGATTAGGGATTAGACTATATTAGAAAATAAATAGAAACTATGGATCGATTAGATTAATTTTTAATAACAACATCAATAAGTGGAGGGTTTGGTTCTGGATATGCTAATTTATTAATGAGTAGATTAATTTTGGATTATGGAAATAAAGTAAAAAAAAATGGATTTATACTATTCCCTTCTTCAGAGATGTCTAATAATATTCTTGAAATTTATAATGCTACGTTTTCAATTAATATGGCAAAAAATTGACAGTGTCATTATGTTTGATAATTAGTCCATGTACAGTGTAATTGATCAACAATTAGATTTAAATTATTTAGATTATTCCCATTTAAATAATTTGATTGCATAAATAATTAGTTCATATACTGGATTAAGAAGATTTAATCACATTGATAATCCAAATTTTTTTTAAAATATGTGTCCTTATCCTAATTTGCATTATTTCATACCATCCTATGGTAAAATGAGTTTAATAAATGATTACACTAGAAAATAATTTAATCAAACTGAATTCATAATATATCTAACTCAAAAAGAGATTAAACTTTTTTAATGTCCTAAAAATCCTAAACACCTCTCAACAACCTTATTATTTAGATAATAGGAAGAAAACCATTTTTATGGCAAATTTGATTTGACACTTTAAAATTTGGAACATTTCTACAACTAAAAACCTCGAGTTTTTCAATGAACTTCATCTAATTATTAAGTATTATCTGAATTAGCTTAAACGAGATAAACTGAAACATTCTTCTCTAATGATGCTTTAATTGTTAGTAGATTTAGGATGCTAGGAAAAAAATTCGATTTAATTTATGAAAAAGGAGCTTTTCTCTGGGCTTATGTTTCTGAAGGTCTTGAAGAATTTGAATTTAGTGTAGCAAGAGAAGCTTTGGCTTCTATTGAATTTGATGTAGCACCGGATTCTACAAATCATAATAACTGAATTATGGGTTATAAGAATGATTATTCACAAAATTTCATTGAAATAAATTTATTAAATTATAAAAATGTTTTTGAGTCATAAATGTGTACTGCATCTTAAGGTTTTTTTTTGATGTCTTAAATTTATCTAGACACAATCAAGAAATTAATATATTCATTTTTAACTAGATCTGTGGAATTGAATAAATATTTTTTAATTTTATAATAAATAATATTATATTAAATCTTTATACTCATTTTTCTTTATATTTTTTGATTTATATTAATTTTATTTATAATTCCAAGGGATCAAATAATCTCCATCATCACTCATTACTTGATATATATACTATGCATCAAAATGTATAGATTATTCAGTTAAAATTCTTCATTAAATTTTTTCGTTATCAAATTGACATATTTTCACCATTCTTACTCACAAGAATTCATTTATATATTATTAAGGAAATGGACAATTTTCAAATGATCCACATTTCGCATCAACATCCCTAGTCTTTGTAAATTACTAATTGACTGTTCATCTCATACACTTAGATCTATTCTTTTTATTTCTATGATAATGTGAACATATTATTATCAATAAACTTATTCTATATGTAGATTATTCAACTGTAATCTTTTATATTACAATCTATTCTTTATTGCATCCTTATTATTCCATTATTAATATTAATTAATCATAACCACAAGATATCACTCTATTTTATTATTAGTTTGTACTTAATCCATAAACATAACTAGAATGATCTTTTATTGTTTTATAATACGTCCATTCATTCTTTTTCATCCAAAATTTAATAGTATAATCATAACTTCCTGATATAATTAAATCTTAATTATTATTTACTATTAAACAATAGATATAATGATTATCTCCAATTAATATCTACTAAGAAATCCATTGATTATTTTATTTAATTGCCATATTATATCGATTTATCTTCATTCCTAGATATCAATCAATTTGATTTATTCATAAAGTTTAGAATATATATATTGTTTTTATGTTCACTTAAAATTTAAGTCTATTTCATCATTCCTTACCTAAATTCATATACTTTTATTTAAATGTATCATCCAGCCAATAATGCTGAACAATCTTTATTAATAAAAAAATTATTTCTAAATAAATGGTAATAAGAGGGCTGATTACTAAAGGTTTTCAATTGTTTATTACTTAGACATCATGAAATAAAATTAAATTATTGATCAATATTGGCCTATATATTTAAAATTTCTAGCTTGATCCTTCATAGTTTAAATATTACATCCTTACAAAAATAAAAGATTTATATATAATTATTTTTTTATAAATCTTAGGTTTATTAATATAGCTGTTTATAATTGTTTATTTTCAAGGGAGAAAACAATAAAAAAGATACATTTTAGAAAATAATTAAATTTTTAGGAAATTTTTAATTTTTCTTAGCTGACTTTAATTTTGGCATATAAACTGTGCAAATTAAAGGAATATTATTGATTAATGATGGATTTAAGAATTCTTATTTAACTTTAATTATTTATTGATTACAACTTGGTCTAAATAATGTAAAATTTGATGAATTTGAAAATAAGATAAACTTTGAAGATTGGAAAAAATTTATTTACTAATTAGAAATAATTATTATTAATTAAATTAATTTTCATAATTTTTTTTTAACTAGAATTAAATTCTTTTTTTATATATCAAAAGAATAATAAATTAATGAAGTTTATTTAAGTATAATAGCAAAAAATGGTTAAGACAATAGAAAAGCAAATTATAATGATAATTCCTTTTTGGAAAAAGGCTTCAAAAGAAAGTCGCATTTTGAAGAACAGGTATTGCATAAGATTTAAACTATATAACAAGAAGAGTTTGAAAAATTGAATTTAATTTGTGAGTGATTTTAAAAGCTGAATAATAATTAAACTTTATAATTTGAATGAATATTCTTTAAAAGTTTTGTAATATTCTCTTTGTTTATAAAATTTTAGAATAATAAATTAGTAACGTAAAGAACTCTAATAACATAAAATGAACAACCTTAACATTTATTTTCTTCTTAAATAATAAGCATATATTAAATATTTAGTAATTTATAGATTCAATAAGAATAACAATACGTTTTATAACAATGAATATTTTGGTTAAACAGATAATGCGATGGGGAAGAAATTGATAAATTATAACTTAGAGATATACTCTATCTAAATAAAAAGCAAATAGGAGAATAATTAATAGTGGTCATTTAAATGATAGAATTCTTAGATTATCTTTGGGTAGTAAATTAAAATAATAACAAATTAATAATTTCTTAATAACTCAAGTATTTCTGATTGAAATATCAATCCTCAAATTTATCTAATTATTTTATTTTTCTATTTAGGTGCAATTTAAATAATTTGAAATTCATTGATCCACATATATCTACTGATTTTAGAAACTTATTAATTTGATTTCAAGCCTAATTATAATAAATTGACTAATAGAATACTATCTTCTAAAATTTTTTCCTATTCTCAATAAGAAGGATTATTAACTATCAGCTATGATGAATATATCCTTCTACTAATCAAATGATATACATTCTAAATTATATGATTACTTATATTTTTGTTTACAACTCTAAAAAGTTAAAGCCATTTGAAATTAATAAGTCATCATAAAAATGATATACAATTTTAGAAGAGTTAGGCTAGCATATTGTAGTATCCTCTTATTGATTATAGCAACTAACAGCATAAATTATTCAATAATGTACTTAATTTTTCATAAAGACATATATTATTTTAATATATTCATGGCGATTTCAATCTAATAGAATTACATTTTTATCAAATTCTATTAAAAAAATAATAAGAACTGATTTATTTTTCAATGAACTGCATAATTATTTTATGGAGGAATAATAGCAATAATTTAATTAAGAGCAATCATATAAAGAGGCCAAAGATAAATTAAATGATATTGTAGATACCATTGTTTTCATCACAATGTAAAATATTCCTCTAGGAATTCCAACCTAAATTGGAAAATAACAAGCCTTTTAAAATTAGGAAATACTACTCTTTTTAGGGTTTGATCATTCATTTATAGATCCATTATATTCTCATTATTCAGGTAATAAGATAATTTAAGATCATGAATATATCAAAATAGTGGAACTAAAGATAGAATCAAAATAGTATTATCTGATTAATTCACCATTTTCTTTAGAAGGAATTAAAGATTAAAAATTATGTCGCAAATAATGTGTTACAAGATTAACTCTGAAAAGCTTTTTAGAAACACTAAAAGAATAAAAATTTCATGTTATTGTTAATTTCGAAAAACTTTAAGGAGAGAATAATTAAACTAAACTTAATTCGATTATTGATTTTGGATTATTAAACTTTGGATAATTTGTTTTTAAAGATTAAATGATCTCTTTGATTTTTGAGAATAATAATTTTTAAGAGGTTTCACATTGTTTTGCTAAAGATTTATAATAACAGAATTTACAAATTAGTCATTATTTGAAAGAATAGTTTTTGAGACTTATAGTTCAAAAAGATAAATTTTACAAACCAAATACTGAAAAGGAATAAAATTATGGAATTATGACATTATTTTTATCATAAAATTTGGATGATTATGCTAATTCCTTAACAAATATTTTAAGAAGATTTTAAGATTTACTTTTAAGTTTGCAATAAATTCCATGTCTTGAAGATGAATAAGAGTTGAATAAAAGTTTAATTCAATATTTGGATGATCTAGATGATGTAATCTAAAAAAACTCTAATGAATAATTAAAATCCATATCTTAACTTTTTAGAGTAATAGATTAAATCAATTAAAAGTATCATCATAGCATCAATAAGTATTTAAAATCTTTGAACTATTCTAATTTTAAAAAGTTCTTAAAAGAAAAAAATATTTCTGTAGAAGATATAGAGATACCATATCAACTAGTAGGCCTATAATAAATTTCATATATTAATAACTTTTTTGAAAAATATATAAGTGAAGATTATTTAGAAAAAAATATAAATGAAGTGAAAAATTTATGTATTAATATTAAATGCTGGAAATCATGTTGTCAATCTTAAGTAGAGAGAATTATTTATAATTTTTTGCAAATAATAAAAGAAATTCAAGATGAACCAAATCAATAGAGAGAAGTTGGTGTTTTTGTTTTTGGGAAAAGCAAAGTAGGCAAAAGTACTTTCTTAAATTTAATCAAAGATCCTGAATGTTTAACAATAGAAAAGAGACTAAGCAATTTATGTTATGGTCTTAAAGAAGGATATTAATCAGAATTTGAAATAGGTCATGGATACAAAAGTAAAACTTAAAAGGTATCAGGTATATAGATGAATGATATTTGGTTTTATGATTGTCCTGGTTTTGATGATAATATATCAGAAGAAATACGAATTGCTCATCGGATCAGTTTATATAATCATTTAATTAAAACAAAAATAGTCATTGGATTTATTTTAGTTGATTCTTCTATAAACAATTTATAAATTATTAAGGATACATTAGATCCATTTTTTTTATTGCTGAAAGATAGAAATTAATTAACAAAAGAAAACAATATGTGGGCTTCTTTAGTTTTAGTCAAACCTGAATAAAATACAAGAAAAGATCATATTAATTAATGGGATGATGTTTTTCAAGGTTTATTAGAAGGTAAATACTCATTTTACTAAGAAATGTATGGAAATGATAATTAATGTATTGAATTTCCTAAACCTAAAAAAGAGATGCTACCTGAATAGATTTTATTTTAAAATCAAGAATTAAAAAGATAAATATTATAGATAATTAATGATAAAAAATAACAATAATAGTAATAATAATTTTAACTAAAATTTGAATTATCTATTGAGTTCAGAATATTTTATTAATATGAAAATGTACTTTAGAAGCTTTAGATTAAAATTGAATAGATAGTTTCATTATTAATAGCCTAAATAGATTAATATGTTTTAAAAGTTCAAGATCCATTTGACGAAAAAAAAAACCTATTTCAAAATTTGCAATCGTTTATGGTTGATGAAATTAATTAAGAAAATGTGAAGGAAATTCTAGAAAATATTTTGGAATGGTGTCAATTGAATAAATAATTCAAATATAATTCTTAATTTCTGCAAAGTACAATTAATGATGTTTTAGATTGTTTAAAAATTGAAAAATGTTTTAAAAATACATAAATCTCCCCAATTAAGGTTAATACATAAAAAATCAATAAAAATGTAGAATAAATTCTGAAAATTATAAAAGAAAATGGTTATGCAGAATTTGTTTTTGATGCATCACTGATGTTGGGAACTATAGCTTTAGTAATCTATTCTGCAGGAACTGCTTTTTTAGGAGCTGCTGCAACAAAAGAAATGATTTAAATATTAGCAATTAAAATATCTAAGTAAGTAGCCAAACGGGCAGCTCTTTTAGGATTGAGTGGAGCAGGACTTGGGACTTCATTTATCATTCATTGCTATAGATAAGGGTTATTAAAATGGAGATATGAGAATTACTTAAGAGAAACAGAACAAAATAGATAGTAACCCCAAAGAAATTGAAGATGAATTTATAAGTTAAAGATATAAATATTTATAAAAAAAACTTAATTATATATATATTGGAATTAATTATTTATTCTTCACTATTTTATTCAATATTTATACATTAGTATAAGCATAATATGATAAAGAAATAACTTATTATTAATTAAACTTATTACATTAATAATTATTTAATTAGCTAATAAATCAAAGCTTTTATCAAAAATAAATCAATTTAAATAACTATTTATTTTCAATATATTTCAACCGACATTAATTGAAAGGATAAATTTCTCCTACAAACTATAACATCTTAGCTTAGAGAAACACTATGTTAATAGTTAAAATTCTTTATGATTCTTAAAAATATAGGAAAGCTTAAGGTTCATTATATTCCTTATCTATTAATAAGTATTATTCTTTGGATCATACGAATTCATTTTTAACATTAAGACAAATTAATTCTATTTAATAAAGCTTTAAGATTGCTTTTAAAAAATTTAATCGAAATTTCGGAATACTTCTATTCCTAATTATAATACTTTTCTTAGATATATAGTAATTGACATGCATTTCAAATCCTTTATAATTCTTATTGACTTATTTATATTCTTCTATTTGAAAAATACCATAGCATTACTAATTTCAATTTCTGTTTCAGCCTCACTAGGAATTTTGTATTCTTTAATTATTTTAATACATCTTCTATACATTTTTTTATATTAATGAAGCAACCAATTTAGTTGATGTTACTGTAGTATATAGCTAGAATTTATTATTTGAATTTTTCATCCATAATTCTATCTAAACTTTTAATCATTGTAATCTTATAATCTTGCAATAGATCCTAGATTTAAATAAAATAAAATTTAACATATTCTAGAATTGAATCATTTTTAAAAAGAATCTTAGTTTTAATTCTAAAATAGTTAATTTTAAGAAATTCATTTAAATTTATATATTTTAATTTATAATATTGACATTATTGCACATATATGATATTCATTAATAAATACATAATGATCTTTCACCTACCACTTTAAAATTATTTTCATTTTCGTTCCCTAGCTAATATTTCTATTTATTTACAGAATATCATATTATTTTTGATTGTTTATATGCTTATATACCTTAACTTTACTCTTTTTAATATTTCATTTTTTATCCTATTCCTATTTCTATTTGCTTCCAAATAATTTTAAATGAACAATGCATCTTCATAGCCAGCTGCTATTAAAAAATTTAGAGTTTATTTTTACTTTCGATTATTACATTTTATTAATTTAATATAGATTAGTGAAAAATTATGACAATTTTGAAAAATAATTATAAAATCTTCTAACGAAGCATAATAAATCAATTAGTTTTTATTTCCTTTTTTATCTAATTGGTAAAGAGATTCAAAAAATTTTAAATTATCTTATTCGCAAAGGGAACCTTCTTATATTTTCATCTTCCAATTTGAATTACAAAGTTTAATTCTTTAATTTTAAAGATCATTTAATGATTGTTGATATTTTTGTTATAAAATTTAAAAATTTATCTTAATAAATTTTTGATTTAATTCGATATTTATTGGTCTATTTTTATATGTTGATTCATTTTTAAGTATCTAGGCTTATACCTTTAAATAATAAGTCTTCTATTTTTAAAACCTTAAGATAAATTTTCAAATTAAAGATTTTTGTTTATATTTGAATTTAGATTTCCTATAGTAGGTTAATATAAACTCTCTATTAATAGACTAGTTGAATTGAATTTTAGGAAGCTTTTCTTTTTCTCCCTGTTCTTTGAATAGAATTCCTTATTCATGATTTATCTTTGTTAATATACACATAGCATTAAGATATACCTAGACTAATTCACATAGTAGCATAATTTGGATTCAATTTGATGGCACTTTTGTAGTATTAGAATCACTTCTACCGCAGAATAAATTTATTAATGCTTAGTCTAATATCTTGTTTGATTTTATTTAATAAATTACTTTACTCCCTTTTTCCAATAATATATTTTATTTTAAGTAAAAATTAATCTATTTAACAATTGAGATGGCAGGACGTTTTTTAGATTAAATTTAAACTGTATTATTTAGAATTTAATAAAGAGAAATTAACAGTAGAATTAAATCCTTTGTAAATATATTGATTAAGATTTCTATAATTTTGAGTAATAAGTTTTTATTTAGTTAATTGATGGATAAAGGTAATTAAAATCTACTGAATATTATGAAGCCATTTACCAAGAATGGTTTGAATTATTTTTCAGTCATTAAGGGAATAAGATAAATAAATTAGTTCTCTAATTTTAAAAAAATATATGATATATTTTTAGAAGAGCATAGAGTATTATTATATAATTTGAATCATAATAATCAAAAAAATAAAATACTAACATTGAAAGAAAATATTAGAAAAATACTTTAAATATTTAAAAAAACTTAAACTTTTGAAGCTAATTGGCATGAACCATTTCTCATCTAATTTATTCAATAATTAATTACATCAGAATTAAAATGAAAGTGTTATTTTTTGTTTTTTGGTATCCAAAATGACAATATGATAGATAATCTTATATTAAATAAAAAATAATATAACGTAAAATTCATTTAACTTTCACATTTCTATTCATAAATATTTAATAAAGGCATATTAATCAGCATAAATTATTTTTTTTATTAGAAAATGATTATTAATTATTGTATAAAACTAATAGAAATAGAAAGAATGTCAACATAATAAATAGTAAAAGGAAAGTTAGAATAACATATAATATAAATAGAGAAGCATTTGGATGTATTAATTGTAATTAATATAGTCATCTTTTGATAAAATCTGTAATTACATCGATTAAATATTTATTATGGATTCTCCAATATCTTTGTTGAAAACCCAAAAATAAGAAATATTTTTCCCAAAAGTTGATGAATTCCATATAATTGGTTATTCTGAGTTTATATCTAATGTTGTCTAAGAAATTAAACCATTAATGAAATAAAGAATCTAAGATAAAGATCAAGCTCAAATTCAATCAGAATAAAATTTATAATCATTAATAAAATCATTATAATTATAAGAATTACAAGAAAAAGAAATCAAATCTTCATCTTAATTTTCTTATTAGTTAATTTAAGATAATTCTTTTCAATAATTTGAATATTGTTATGCAATTTCTATTAATAAAGATTGTTCAATTGTAGCAGCTGGATCTGATAAATAGATTAAAATATTTGAATTCAAATAAGGAATGTTGAAATTAAATCAAATCATAAATGAACATAAAAGTTATGTAAGTATTTTAAACTTCATGAAATAATCTAAATAGTTTATTTCTGGAGATTGGGGTGGATTTATTTTTATTTGATCATTTATTGATAATGTATAGATTCGCTCATAAGTTATTTAAAGACATAGTAATCCGATTAATTGTTTAATTTTGAATAAAAATGAAGATCTATTTATATCATGTAGTGATGATAAGACTATTAGGTTTTGGGCTAAGAAAAATAAATAAAATAATGAATGGATCTGTTAATAAATTATTTCAGATCATATTAGGTGGGTTTATCAAATTATTTTAAATGAATAAGAAAATCAAGTTATATCTTGTGGAAAGGATGGATTAATATTAGTAATTGAATACTCAGAATCTAATAAGATCTGGGTTGTAATCCAAAAAATAGTAGAAAATTGTCGTGGATTTAGAATAGGCTTTATCAACGATAATCTATTCACATTTAAACCTATTGATGGTAATTTGATGCATGTCTATGAAAAAAATAGTGTAAGTAAAGAATTTACTAGAAACAAAGATATTATTCTAACTTAAGGTGATGATGGTTATGGATTATTTCCATAATAATTTATTAAATAAAAATAATTAATAGTGTGTAAACATGATAAATATATAAATTTAATAAGAAAGGCATAAAATGGTGAATTTAAAGTAGAGTAGTATATTGAATTTAATACATATTATATATATGGATAAATGAGTGATGATGGAGAATATTTGATTACTTGGGATAATTCATCAAATGAGATATAAATTAGGAGATACATAGAACAGCGAGAGAATTATTATATAAAATATTTATAAATATATACATGAGATTAATATTTTTGGCTCTAGAATGAATACAAAAATTTAATATTAACAAAAATAATTTCAACAAATGAAATTGTAGAAGAAATGAAGCAATAAAGAATACTTATATAATCGATTATGTGTAGAATATTTTTGGAGATTATAATGCTTCTCAAGAAATATATGTTGAATAGAAAGTCTAGTAGGGTAGATGATGAAAGAGATAAGCAACAGAAACAGAATTACTATTAAATCTTTGACCTTTATATTTTAATTTATGTAAGAAAACCTTGAAAGGCTATGAGAATTTCACAGTCGGTTTTTATGTATACAATGAAGTTCAAACTCATTAAATATTACAATATTATTTTTTTTTGTTTAAACCATCTTATGAACAATAAAAACTTAGCATTGTGTTTCTTCATTAAATGTAAAGTGATATCAAATATATTATATATTAACTGAATCTCATAAGTCTAATTATAATTCCAAAAAAAATACTTGTCAAACTTAAATTAGGTGTAATAATTATTTTTTATTTTTTAATAAGATTTGATTTGCTTTTTAATTTATTGTTATCCTCATAAATTCCTTACCTATACAAAGCAACAGCACTATTTCATCATTTTCTCTGATTCATTGAAAGCTTTATCTTATATTTATAATTTTGAATCTTGTGAATCCAAAATTATCAATCATTAATTCATCCATGATTCGTAAATTAATATTAAAAAAAAAATCAATTTAAATCACAAAATTTTTTAATATGATGATAACTTAGAATAAAGGGGCATAATTTATCAAGAATATTTTGAAATAGCCCTCCCACTCTTAAAAAATATTATTTTAATACTATTTAAATTATTTTTTGTAACCATTTACTATTCTTTAAAGTAATTCCATATATATTATGAACTAGTCCAATACAAAATTTAATAAATTAAAAATCAGACAATTTTATATTTTAGAATTTTAAATAATGATCAAAATTAACTTAGAAATCTTATTTAAACTATGCATTATCATTAGAATAACCCAATCAGATTGTTAAATACATTTAAATATACTTTATAGCTGAATAATGATATCTAGCAAAATTATGCTAAGTAGAAAAAAATGAATTATTCTCCTTTTTTTTAATCAATAATATATTCCAACTTAAATTTAATCTGCTATTCTTGATATATCAATAAAATAACTCATAAGGGATTAAGAAAAAACACCTTTAGATTTAAAAGATATAATATATAAATACCAATTAAAAAATGTGGCATAATTAAAATTTACTTAGAATTTACGCTTATTACTCATATGTAAGCACAATTGAAATCATAATAAGATAAATTTTATCTCCATATATAATTAATTTTTTATATTATTCTCCCATAATGTTGATTATAATTATGGATTAAAAGCATTGTTTGAATTTTGATTAAATATTTTGATGCATTAATACCTTTAAGATTTATTATAAATATTATAATTCTTTAAATTTTTATTTATTTTGATATATCAAATAATATGATCATTTAGTTCCCCTATTCCTAAAAAGTTAATTTTTTCAAAATCAGATCTACTTGATTTGACTGTTTAAATTCTTTCTGATATGTTCTAATAAGTTAATAACCTAATGAAGATTTAATGAAATCAATACTTTGAATTTCTTAATTAAATTTTTGTAAAATACAATAAATAATTTCTTAATTTTAAGTAATTATTTTATAATCTTTATTCTTTCTCTTTATGAAAATTTAAAATTTTATTTAAATATATTGTTAAAATAAAATTATTCCCAATTAATTTAAATATTTCACATAAGTAAGCTAAAATGGGGATTTTATATTTTTTATAGTAAATTCTAAATATATTTTACATAAATAAGTAAAAGAGTCGAATAAACAACCCAATTATTGATATTTCTAGAATAATTGTTGCATAATGGATATTTTGTTATTCACAAATATATTTAATTGCAGTTAAGTAAATTGAAATCGAACAAATTTATGCTGCTTCTAAATCAAGAGAATTAAATGTTTTTGTAACAAAGGGTTTTTAATTAATTGCTAAAATTTAATAAATTAATAAGCATAATCCTAATAAAAGAGCTTTAAATAAAATTTAAGTTTCAAAATGAGTCAAAATAAAAATAATTATAGTTTTTTTTAATTATTTGATTTATTCCCAAAAATAACTTTAACTTTCGTATTCATTTAGTAAATAACAAATATGCTTTCTTAGTTTAATCTTATCTAGGTTATTTCTATTTATTAACAAAAATACTAGAATGAAAACAGGAATAAGAAACCCAAAAAATATTAATCCTGGTAAAACACAATAAAAAATCCAATATTTATGATTTTGATCTCCAAATTACAATGTCACATCACCTTAAATATAATTAATATTTGATATAACTCGAATTGAAAGAACTGAAGATAACCTATAAATATTATTATAATTTTACATTTTCATCAACCCTGCATAATTTACAATATACAAATAAAGTAGAGTATTTGTGAGTATACTGAGATCATATTTATGTTTCATTTTTTTAAAGTAGCAAAATGATGCCAAAAATATAATATTAAATTATGAAATAATAAATGTTATCATCATTAAAAGTTTTATATAAATTAAGGGATTTGTACTTATTTTAGATAAATGACAATCTTAATTACTAGCAATAGAATAGGAACTATTACTAATTTATTCAACAAAATAAAATGATAGAGAAAATTTGATATTAAATGTAAATATTACTTAAAAAGTCCATAAATAATTTATCATCAATTTTATAAGAATACTTTCATGATCTAGAATATTTTATATTATTTTACCTTAATTTAATTTAAATAAGATTTTGTGATATCTTCTAATTAATTTAAGTTAAGTAAATAATTTATTTGATCTATTGACACTTCTCAAAGATAATATAATAGATAAAAATGTCCTAAAATTACATTATTTAATTACCAAATAAGTATAAGTATAAGAGACATGATACCATCCCATTTATCTTAACATATTTAACATTATTAATTCCATTAATTTTTATAAAAATTACCAAATCCNAGTCGAATAAACAACCCAATTATTGATATTTCTAGAATAATTGTTGCATAATGGATATTTTGTTATTCACAAATATATTTAATTGCAGTTAAGTAAATTGAAATCGAACAAATTTATGCTGCTTCTAAATCAAGAGAATTAAATGTTTTTGTAACAAAGGGTTTTTAATTAATTGCTAAAATTTAATAAATTAATAAGCATAATCCTAATAAAAGAGCTTTAAATAAAATTTAAGTTTCAAAATGAGTCAAAATAAAAATAATTATAGTTTTTTTTAATTATTTGATTTATTCCCAAAAATAACTTTAACTTTCGTATTCATTTAGTAAATAACAAATATGCTTTCTTAGTTTAATCTTATCTAGGTTATTTCTATTTATTAACAAAAATACTAGAATGAAAACAGGAATAAGAAACCCAAAAAATATTAATCCTGGTAAAACACAATAAAAAATCCAATATTTATGATTTTGATCTCCAAATTACAATGTCACATCACCTTAAATATAATTAATATTTGATATAACTCGAATTGAAAGAACTGAAGATAACCTATAAATATTATTATAATTTTACATTTTCATCAACCCTGCATAATTTACAATATACAAATAAAGTAGAGTATTTGTGAGTATACTGAGATCATATTTATGTTTCATTTTTTTAAAGTAGCAAAATGATGCCAAAAATATAATATTAAATTATGAAATAATAAATGTTATCATCATTAAAAGTTTTATATAAATTAAGGGATTTGTACTTATTTTAGATAAATGACAATCTTAATTACTAGCAATAGAATAGGAACTATTACTAATTTATTCAACAAAATAAAATGATAGAGAAAATTTGATATTAAATGTAAATATTACTTAAAAAGTCCATAAATAATTTATCATCAATTTTATAAGAATACTTTCATGATCTAGAATATTTTATATTATTTTACCTTAATTTAATTTAAATAAGATTTTGTGATATCTTCTAATTAATTTAAGTTAAGTAAATAATTTATTTGATCTATTGACACTTCTCAAAGATAATATAATAGATAAAAATGTCCTAAAATTACATTATTTAATTACCAAATAAGTATAAGTATAAGAGACATGATACCATCCCATTTATCTTAACATATTTAACATTATTAATTCCATTAATTTTTATAAAAATTACCAAATCCTCTAATATCATATATATCACATTCTTCACATAATGCACCAACATGTCCAGGAATACAAAGATTATGTCCAACTAACCATCCTCCTTAACAATATGCTTAATTCTTAAAACATTCTTCTGTAAAATCAGATAAATTATGAGGCCTCCAATATCCAGGTAATAAATCTATCATATTTGATGTAATATTTGAAAACTTAGTCTTATCAAAAATAGAACATTTAGTAGTATTATAAGTAACAGAATAAAAACCTTAATTAGATTAACAAATTTAACACCCTTCATTAACATAAAATTCACCAAGTTGACATTTTAAACTTTTTGCTTTTATTTGATACATTAAACCTTTTTCTTTATCATGAAATTTGCAATATATTGATATTAATAAATGTTCATAATTTTAATATGGATCTAATGTAAATTATAATGATGATAAATCAAAATGTTATTTTTCATTATTAAACTTAACAGTTTTGTTTTTTTTTTAATTTTCAATCTAAGAATCACTTTTAATAATAATTGATTAATTAATTATACAGGTTAAGTTAAAAAAGGTTTTTAACAATTCATTTCTACTATTTTTGTAATACAATTCCATATTTTCTATAAATAATTTATACTTAGATTATCTTATATCAAATATTTAAAAATCCTTTATTATTTAATTACTTGGTATTATTAACTCTTCATATTAACGAATCTAATCTTATTCAAGTATTTAATAAGTATTCAACTTCATTTAATTTGTTTAAATATCATTTATTATTTTAGATGTTGAAGGAATCTCTTTAGAATTGATAAACAGAGCTAAATGAGATGGTATTTCTATAAGATTATTCCCTTGTTCCAAAGCTTAATTAAACAATAACATAGAATTGATAAAATTATTCTTATTTAAATTGCTCAATCCTTTAAGATAAATACCTCCTCCAATTTTAGCAATATTAGAAATAATTATTGATTAATTCACAATAAAAGTATTTGAATCAATTTCAAAATAAATACCACCTCCTAATTCACTTGCAGTATTTTAAATTATTTTACTGGAAATTAACTTAAAATAAATGTTTATGTTAGTTATAGCCACACCTTAAGTTCCTTAATTAAATAAAAAATTTGAATTTTTAACAATAATTTTAGTTTAATCATATTTATTTTTGGTAAAATACAAACAACCAAATTATTTTATTTGATTTTTTATACAATTTAAACTTAAAATTCTAATCTCTTAAAACTCTTCTAATTCAAAATACATTAATCCTTTTTCACAATGTTAGCAATTATTTTTCATTAATTTAATTCTATCAAAGTAAAAGAAACTTTAATTTGATAAACTTTTAAAATTGAATATAGAACCAAATTATAAACTATTCAATTGAAATAATTTGGCATTCTCATTTAAAAAGTTTTATAAAGATGGCTATCTTAATGGATGAATTAAAATTGTATTATTTTTATCATTATTAGTATGAATATTAGATTCTTCTAAAACTTCATATATTGAAACATTCTAAATATCAATTTCTTGAAACTTTATTATTGATTTTATATTTGCTATTTACATTACATGAATTAATGTAAATTAATAAAATATTATAATATTTTATATTCTCAATAATTCTATTTAGAGTCTAGGAATATTAATAAATTTCAATATAGGTGAAATAAATACACCTTCTATGATTAACCCTTTTAATTGTATATTGCAATTCTCCATAAATATTAATGCATTGTTATCTTATACAATTTCATTTAATTCTTCATTTGATAAAATTTTAATCTAAGTAAAATATGTATTCCAAATTTATAAATTTTAAATAATAGTTAAATTTTTTATGAATACTAAATTTTTATTAGTTATTAATTAAGAAAATTGAATATTCATAATTTAATTAAACAAAGATAAACAATCTATAATTTTTACATTTTCTATAGTTATTAAATTTTGAATTTTTGAAGGAAAAACTGTTAATATTGAAGTTGCCATCCTATTTTAAACATATTAAAATATTGCATTTTTTAGATTCAAATTTAATTAACCATTAGATGAATCGATTTTTAAACATCCATAATATTTTTCTGTTGATTCCAGATTATTTTCTGCATAATTAACTGTTAAATTTACTAAATTAATTACACCTTAACCAGATGTTGTGATATCAAATAAAAACCCTTCCTGAGCGAGTATGTGATCAAAAAAACAATCAATACAGAAAAATATTGAAGTATGTAATTTTCCTGCTCCACCTTAATTGTTTAGTTTTAATGTAGAAAAAATAATTTTATTAAAATCTTCTTGATTATTATTATCATCCAATTTTAGATCATAATATTTGATCCACAAATCCTTGTTTAACCAATTTTAATACTTTATTGTGTAATTTAATAGTTTTAAGGTTTCAGATGATATAACAACAAAGGTATTTGAAGAATTAGTTAAGGTGTTTTAATTGCCTAAAAACTATTGAATATATATAGAACTTAAAGAGGATTATATATATAATAAGCTTGCTTAAGTTCTTATTACATGATTGATATAAGAATGAAACATATTAAATCTATAAGTAATATTTTGTAAAGTAATATTATTTAAAGTTAAATCTGATTCTAATCTAAATAGAGATAACCTATTAATTTTATTTAATTATAATAATATATTTTATTAAAACAATATATTATTAAGACTAATTTAACATATTTAATTATTTTTATCTTTTGAGCTTTATATTATTTCAAATAAAGATTCATCAATACTTATCTGATTTTTTATTATTAAATTATTAATTTAAATAGAACTTATACCTTGAATTATAATTAATTTATTCTGTTATATGAAACTTAAATCATTAATTACTAATGGTATTTTAAATTAATCTAATGAACCAGAATAAATTATATCATCAATTTATAATTACTAAATGTCTGATAAAAATAAAATCAATAGATTTTTATTTTGAGTTATTAATATTGTATTCAATTGAATTGAATAACAGTTTATATCAAAAAGACGATCAATATCATTTGTAGTAGATTTATAATTTTATTAGATTTAAGTATTTTGAATAATGAGAGCAAGATTATTAGTTGAATAAGTTGAAAAAATTAGTAATAAACTTGATTTTTCAAATTAATTTTTAATTATTTGAAGTTTTTCTATCAAACATGGAATTGTTTACTAAAATAGTTTCTAAACTATAATTATAGATTATGAAGATTTAAATATATTTTATTCAATATAAATTTAGTTTAATTTTAATCTAAAATTAAGAGATAAGATAGTTGAATTAAATAAGATATTTTATGTAAACTATAAATCTATTATTCTTAATTCAATAAGATTAGTAATATTGATAATAATAGAAAATATAAATTGATTATTATTTACTTACATTTAATTCATACTAAATAGGATATATCTGACAACCTGAGATTCAAAATTAAAAATCTATGAATTTTCAACACTACTATTTTCCATATTAAAATTTTGAATAGATATGTTACTCTATAAATTAGAAATATAAAATAACTGTGAATCAATAAATGTACAATTATATAAAAATAATCCTATAATTGTTATACTTCCATAAAAGTCTTATTTATTTAATTTAAATAAGGTTGATCTATTAAAAATGGAATTAGATATTGTAAGATTATTTATATTAATACTATCAAAAATTTATGTTTCGAATAAAGAATTTATATTATTAAATGAGCTTGAATCAATTGTAATATTTAGTAAAGATAATTTTACTTTTTTTGACTCATTTTCAAATATAAATTGATAATTAGAATAAATTATAAAGTCTAAATTACTTAATACAACTTCATCAAAATTAATAAATTCAGCAGAATAGATTGGATAAATGAATAATTTTGTTAATGAGTGTATTTTAAAATTAGTATATTTTAAAGTGAAAACATTTTCCTTAAGCTAAGTTGTAAATCTCATTGGGAAAAATAGATAACATATTTATTCATAAGTTTCTAATTAAAATTCAAAATCTAGAGTATCAATTCCAATTTAATTTAAATATTTTTTATTGATTTTTGTTTCATATAACCTATTAAATCTTGAAAAATCACATGAATAATATGAAAATCTAAATACAAAAGAATTTTAACAGTCATTTTCAAAGCAATACCGAGAAATCTAATTATAAGGATCATATTAAATTGCAGGATCTAGATATGGCTTAATACATTTTTTAGTAAAAATTACATTCTCTTAAGTGACTCTAAAATGTGATTAATAAGTCTAATAGCATTTATATATATATTAATACTTTAATTTCAATATCTGAACGAGACATACATGCTTAACATAATTGAGGACAATCTGAACAATATTTACCTTATTCAGCTTTTATTTATTTTTTAAAATAATTTAAGGGACATTATTAACAAGTATTATATTCACAAATTAAACAATCTGGACCACAATATTCAAATTAATTTTAATTTTATTATAGATATTGCTAATATTAATAACTATTTAATATAGGAATAAATTAGAGTATAAAACTTTGGATTTTATTAGTCCAAATAGTTATATGATAATCTGGAACTAAATATTCTTCATTAGGAACACATTAATTATTTTCAACAATATATCCATTTATACAAATTACACATTTAATTACAATTGAAATATTCAATGTACATTATAAACAATTTTGTATATGATTTTCACAATTAATTATTTCAGGAGCAATAGAAAAATCATCTTTTATTGATAATGTACATTTTTCTTAACTATTTTTATCTATAAAAGAACGTTAACAATTTTGTAATTAAGGTTTCTAATATATGCATAAATTAATTGTAAAATCAAATATATAATTATCTTCACAAAGTGCACAACCAATTCTAACATAATTAAAATCATGCTCACTAATTATATATTAAGGCCACAAAGAACAAATATTTTAATTATAACTTAAATATTCAAAACAATAAATGCAGTTTTTAATAAGACATTTCTTACATTATCTTGAATATGATATATAATCAGGAGGTATACAAATAGGATCATTTCTAATCCATTTTTATGAGTTACAAACTCCATCAATTAAAATATATCCAGATTGACATTATTAACAAATTAAACCTGTTAAACTTATCTAGCAGCTTATACAATTTTAAAATATACATCTATAACACATAGCTGAGTCAAATATTTATTAATCTTAATACTGACAAAAATATTTAAAATAAATAAAACCTAACTGATACTAATGATAAATATTTTCAATTATTTCTGGATTACTTACATATTATAAGATATAATAATCATATAAATAATTTAGTTATGAACCATCAAAATAATATTTGTCTTAACCTTCAGGGATCAATGAATTATCTATACTACCTTTTGTTGATAAATAGAGAGATGTTTAACAATTAAAATCTTATTACCAATTAAGTGGATTATTATAGCATTCAAAACATGTAATCATATTTTCTTTAATAATAGATGGACTAAAAGATAAATAAAAATAATACCATTTTTAACAATCATTATCAATTTAAAAGTAACCTTATTTACATTATTTATTTACTCTATCTTTTTTAATAAGTTATAAATTAGAATCTTGATAAGTTTAACAATTTTTATTTTCATCTATAGTATTGTAAGGACATATACAAACTTTAAACTATTTTAAATATATTCTAGATTCAGAACAAGATAAACAATCATCACTAGTTGGACCATCACATGTTAAACAACTATAATGACAATTATATTCATTTAATTATTATTAACAATTATAAAATTAAAAGTTTCTTATATCAATATTTAGATAATTTTAAGAATATTATAGCAAATTTCCAAATTTTATTTTGAATTAATAATTATTAAACTAAATTACATCATATTATCTTATAAAATGATTTGAGTTTTGTATCTCATAAAATTTTAAATCCATAATAATTTAATTAAATTTCAATTCTACTTTTAAATAATGCCATAAAGTTATATTATTTGTGATTGATAATTTATCTTAAATAAGAAAAGGATTATCTTAAAAATTAATTGATACATCTGGAAATTAATAACTATATGTTGTTATTTCAATATTATTCTCTTTTTCTGAAATGTAATAAAATAATTGAAAAGGTGATAAATTTTAATCTTCTATAATTGGATTATTGGAATTTGCACTTATTTTAATAAATTAATAATTCAATACTTCTGAAACCTATACTATTTTTCTTATTTTAATCCATCCAATTAAAATGAAAGAATCACAATTTTAATTTTATGATATATATTAATTTTATTACAAATATGAGAAGTTCTAATCATTTATTTACTAATTCTAATTCAAATTACAAATACAAGTTTTGAATGATTCATATATTATTTATGAATGACCAATAAAATCAAATTAAGGTGATAAACTTTATTCAATATAATCTTGTATTCGAATATAGCCTGGAAAATATGTAAAAGTGTCTCCATTTTTAATATTCGATATTTTAGAATCACCTACAATTAAATTACTACCGAATGTTAAAATCAAATTTTTATCACTATAAGGACTTTTCATTTTAATTATTTTATGCAATTTTAGCGCTTATTATTAACTAATTATTAATTCAAATCTTTCTAATGCAGGCCATTATACTATTTGCATAAAATACCATATATTTTCATATTCAAAAGGGTTTATTATTATTTCAAACTTGTATTACTCATCTATATCATTTATAAATTGTATTGTCTTTTTAATTTACTTTTGCTGTTTATCAAGACAATCATAATAAATTAGATTTAAACTTTATGAATCTATTGCTACAACATTATGTAAATGAAAGCAATAATCATTAAATAATCCATATAATCCTACTTATTTAATATTTGCAAGAGGATTATATTTTGTCCATAAACCATAAGTAAAACAATAGTTAGTTGAATCGTTTGAATCTGCTATAGTTATAGTCTTTTTCAGTTATTGATTTTCAGGATTCATTTCTATTGTTTCAAATCCATGAACTAAATTTAATATAGTCAAAATGACATTCATGAACAACATTATATTAATAATTAATGAACAATTTAAATATTCTCATATCTCTTTAAAATAATTGTTTTTCTAAATCAAATAGAAATCATAACAAAGACTATTAAATTATATACATAAAATATGTTATCAAACACAAAATATGTATATATTTCTCATAATCAGACCATTTTATTTTAATATAATAAATATAATTACTCAAATTTGTATATTTGTGTCAAAATTTAAAGGGCAGTAAATTTTGAGTTAAGGATGCATGAAAAAGAAAGTCTTAAAAAAAAGTATATAATATATATTATAAGTATCTAATTCCTTATTAATTATTCAATCCTCATGTTAATACATTTTGTAATAAACTAGATAATGCTCTATAAGTAAATTCTTCAAATTTTCAAGAATATATATTTTCAATGAATTTATTATTGAAGTATTTGATATAAATAGATTTTGTTTGAATTAGTTTAGAAAACAAAATAACATTGATTTTAATTTTCTTTCTGATAATAAGCATAATTCATATATATATTGTCGTAAATTTCTATTATTTGTTTTAATATTTTGCAGTCATCAAATAAAATACATTATACTGGTTAGATTTAAATATTTGAGTTTTCAATTATTCTCCTTCTATTTAGAATTATAACATTCAATATTTAATATTTGATAATATGAATAATAAAGTATATACTAAATATAATAAAAATAAATATAATTCAATATCATTTATTACAATTATTTTCATAGAAATTTTAATAGGCTCAAAGATACTTATATTTATCTTTATAACTCTACATCTCATTTATAATTAAATTTTACTTTTAGGAAGACAAATATCAATTAAATTTGTCGTAGTAATATTTTTCAAGGATAAAAACAAGGATAAAATGAAAAATAATAATATTGAATATACTTTGCTGTTGGTATCAAGTAAATTATATAAAAATCTATTATAGTTTTCATATAGAATGAAATTTATGAATCAATTAATCTTTTTTTTCATATTTTTTTTTTCAGCAATTTAATAATTAATAAAAATTATATCAAATAGGCAGGGAATAAATGTTGGAAATAACATTCAAAAGTAGATTTAAAGAGTTTTGTAATGTGTAATATAACATTGTGTAAAAATAATGGTGTATTAGATTGTTATGCTCCTATAAAAGTTGGTATATTAAATTTAAATTAAAGTAATTTCCTTGAAGTTAATATATAGAAATAAATCAGAAATAATTGAATTTATTTGAGAGAAAATTTGATCTAAGAAAGAATGGCCTAATTCATTTATTGATTGTTTTCAAATATCTTAAAAAATATCCAAATAAATGTATCATCATTAATATTACTAATATCATAATCTCTTTTTTAGATAAATCAATAAAATAAAAAGAATATATCAATTTATGAAAATTAAAATAATAAGTTTGTAATTTTTTTTTGTATATAGTGTTTTAACACAATAAAAAAAATTAAATTTTCTATTTTTATAACTTAATTTTCTTTGAAATTATTAAAATTATTTTAATGATTAAATTTACTTATATTTAAATTATCAAAATTAGATGTTCTTTATTAATTAATTTTTTTTAGTTATTTTAGATTTTAACCTGATCATAAATTTGATTTGTAATAGACAGACTATTTTATTAATGAGTCTGAATTTTCTGTTATTATTTATTTTTATTTAATAAAGCATTCCTATTAATTTAATTTATTTTTAAATATAAATAGTTTTAGCAAATATTCTTTTGTTTACGTTTTCTCTTCTTATGAAATTAAATTCTTTATTTTTATTTTAAATATACTTCTTATTATTTGATAATAATCTTTAAAGACGATATTGATAATTTTATTTTTTTAAATTCATTCTCATAAATGTAGATATTTAATCATATTACCATTCATTTAATTAATCATTATTAGACATTAATATAAAATGATAAATATTTTGAAGACTTTCATTATCTACTCATTTTCAGAATTTGATATTAATTTTAAATTTGGATTTAGGCTCATTCTTAAAGAGTGGCTTCAGAAAGTGAAAAGAAATAATATTGATGTTTCAGTTACAAATATTTTTTGGTATTAATAATACATATTCAATAATTATATGCTTAAGTTTGGGAACTCTAACATTTTTCTCTTTATTTTGAGATTTAACTCATCTAAAATAATATTGATTAAAAAAATTAGTTTTTGTCTATAAATGATTTTAAATATTTTCCAAAAATACCTCATGATAACTTTATAATATATATATATATGGAATAAAAATTATTGATTTATTAATTTTTTATCATTATCATCTGATATAATTTATAAATATTAATATAATTAAATTAATATAATATGGAAAATTAAAAATATATAGTCATCCATCCATTAGATTATCACATTTTCAATATAACAAACATATATATTTAAATGCTTGAGTATTTTCTCATTTAATTAAACTTTTCGAAAATTTTTGAAAATCAAGACTTCGAAATTCATCATATTTTATTTAACTATTTTATAATGGTTAATGCTTGACTTAAAAATAAATATAGTATTAACTAAAATTTTCAAAATTCATTAATATATACAAGGTTTTATGAAATTCCTTAAGATTAAATCTTAAAATAAAAACTGATTTTTTTTCATGATTTAATTAAATTGTAAACTCGCTTAAATTCATTAGAAATTTTACGTTTCAATATTAATCTAATATTCTGTAGTTATATAAGTATTGAAATCTATTCATATTGTTTCTTTTTAATTATTTATTTATTTAAAATGGTTGGGATTAGCTTTATAAAAATTTTATTTATGCACCCATTCTTGCTATATGAAGGTTGTGTGTAAAATCCTGGAGATGATTGTATTAATAATGGATGGACTAATGGAAATCGTGTAATTGAATGCGAAGGAAAACTTTTTATCGGAGATTTTACAGGAGGATACAAGGTATCAAAAATATTTCCATGTCCACCAGAAAGAAAACTAATATTTTCATTTACTGTTGCCAAATTTGATTCTTGGGATTAGGAATCTGTCTTTGTTTATGCAGAGGATGTTCTTGTAGGCTAAATTACTTACTCTCCTTTTGAAGGAACATAAATTTGTGGAGGTTCCTATTTCCCAGATTTAGTTGAGTAAAAAACATTTTAATTTTAATCTCCCATAGGACAGAATAGTTTTAAATTACAATTAGAGGATAACTTATAATCATATGATTAAGGTAATTAATACTTTATTTTTAGAATCTTGGGGATTTAGAGAAATTAGATTATAAATTTTGAATCCTTGTGTTGATTTCTATAGTGAGTGTGACTTTTTGGGAGATATGTGGAGAATATGTGCTGGAAATTAGACTCTTTTTGCAAAATTTGTTCCTTTTAAAATAAAATCAATTAATATTTTAAAAGGGATTAGAGTTTAAATGAAAGACTCAAGATATTATGGAGGAACTCTATAAACCTATGATCAAAATCAGACTTGTTTAGATGATTTTAATGTAATTAAATATCATAAATCATATTTTTAGTTTCCAAAATATTAAAAATAATCATGAATATACTAAGAATATATTTATTATGATTAAATGATAAAATGATAACATATTTATTTAATATATATATTAGTATTTAATATTCCCAAGGTAAAAAATGATTATCAAAAAATTTCTGTTTTTTAATTTTTATCCAATATATAAGCTATATTATTATTGAGATTTAAAAATAAACAATATACTTATGCCTTAAATTTAATCAATTCAAGAAAAATACCTTGATATTAATTTAGAATGGCTCTAATAAAATGAAGGAAAGAAAATAATATATTAAAATATTTGTTATATAATTTACTAAAAAATAAAAATACTTCTTTTTTATAATTTATTAGAAGTATTCATTAAATTAATGAAAAATAATAATTAAATGATCAAAAAAAAACAGTAAATTGGATAGTATAAAAATTATCTTTTTAATTTATATAATTATAATATAAATACAAATTAATGACTTCAAATTACTCAATAGGCATTGATTTAGGCACTACTAATTCATGTGTTGGTGTTTGGATGAATGATAAAGTAGAAATAATCTACAATCAATTAGGTAATAGGCAAACACCAACTTGTGTTTTATTTACTAATCAAGGAAGTCTTATAGGTGAAACAGCTTTACATCAAATTTATCAAAATCCCTAACATACTATTTTTGACATAAAAAAAATAATTGGAAGAAGATATTCTGACTAAAATTTTTAAAATTTAATAAAAGATTACCCCTTTAAAATAGATGCTGGATTTGATGATTAACCAGTAATTGTTATAGAATATCCTGAAAATATTTAGAAATTCTTTCCTGAAGAAATCTATTCAATAATACTAGAGAATTTAAAGAAAATAGCTCAAGATTATTTAGGTAAACCAATTACATCTGCTGTAATTTCAGTACCAGCTTATTTTAATGATCTACAAAGATAAACAATTAAGTAAGCAGGAACCAGAATAGGTTTGAATATTTTGAGACTCATTAATGAACCCTCTGCTGCTGCTATAGCTTATAATTTACACAATAATAATCATGAAGAATAGCAAGTTCTAGTTTTTGATTTAGGTAGCAAGAAACTTGATCTTACTTTATTATTTATTGAAGATGGTATCATTGAAATGAAAGAAACCCTTAATAATAATCAATTAGGTGGTATCGAATTTGACAACAAACTTGTAGAGTATTGTTGTATTTAATTCTTAAATAAAAAGGGAATTGATATAAGAAATAACTCATAATTATTATATAAACTTCGAATAGAATGTGAAAGGGCTAAAAAGATTCTATCATCTACTCATCAAGCAACAGTAGAGATTGATAATTTTCATAACAATGAAGATTTTACATGTATAATCACTAGAGCAAACTTTGAAATGTTATGTATGAGTTTATTTGAATAATGTATACTATCTATAGATAGGATTTTAATTAATTCAAATCAATTAAAAAATCAAATTAATGAAATAATTCTTGTTGGAGGATCTTCAAAGATTCCAAAAGTTTAAGAATTGTTAAAAAATTATTTTAATGGAAAGTAATTGCAATAATCAATAAATCCAGAAGAAGTTATTGCTCTTGGTGCTGCTACTTAGGCTGCCATTTTAAATGGATAAATATAATAACAAATCTAGTTTTGTTGTATATTTGATGTTACTATATTAAATTTAGGAATAGAAACTTATGGAGGTTTAATTACAACATTAATTTCAAGAAATTCAACAATTCCTACAAAGAAAACATAAATTTTCACCACTATGAATGATTATCAAACTGAAGTCAGTATTAAAATCTATTTAGGTTATAGATATTTGGCTAAAGATTGTCTTTTAATCTAATAATTTAATTTAACTGGTATTTCACCAGCTATTAAAGGATTTCCTGAAATTTTGATAATATCTGAAATTGATTCAAATAATACACTTACTATAACTGCTCAAGATTTAGCTTCAAAGAATAGTAATTAAATAATTATTGCTAATTTTAATGATGGATTAACAAAAGATTATGTTGAAAATCATCTATTGGAAGCAGAAAAATTTGAAAATGAAGATAAAATGATAAAAAATAGGATTGAAACAAAGAATAATTTAGAGTCAATAATATATCTATTAAGAAATACAATCAATAATGAAAACTTTAGATTTAAAATATCTAATATTGAGAAATAAAAATATTAATAATTAATTAATGAAACATTAGAATGGATTATTAAAAATCAAAATGCTGATATAAAAGAATATTAAAATAAATTGAACACACTTGAAGAAGTTTAGAATAAGCTTAATTTATAACTTTGTTTGGATGATAATGAATCAGAGTAAGCAAAGCAATGGTTTGAAAAGAGCTCTAAATTTTCACTTTGTTGAGATTAAGATTATTTAAACTAATTGAACTATAAGTATTGTAATTGATATTTGAGATATATATATAAATTAATTATTAAGTTATAGGATTTATTTAATAAAAATTAATCTTATCATTATGAGATTAAAGATCATAAAATATTTAAATGTGAAATAGAGAATGAATCTATGTTTAAAATTTAAGAACTCTAAATGATATTTATAGTCAAATTTATCTTGATAAATAAGTATTTGAAAGAATTTTAATAATCTAATTAATTTTAATAATATTTAAATTAAAAAATGAAAAATACTTAATAATTCGTTTGTTTTATTATCAAAATTATCATGGATATATGAGTAAAGCCATTGAAATATGAAGGTTAATTATATTTGAACATTTCAAAAATTATTTGTATTTTAAGAATTCAACTTCTGACCTTTCAATAATCATTCATGTTTGTAATATTTATATTAAAACTTAAAATATTATTTAATGAAATAAATATCATATTGTCATTAAAAATTAATTTAATCCTTTTTAATTATTAAAAATTATAAGGTAATTTTGGAGAGTGTCATTCAAGAAGTATTAATGAATTTAAATTAAATTGATTTTTTGTACTTAATGAAATTTTATTATTTTATATTTTTTAAATGAAAATTTATTTATTATTATTA